GGTTTATTTGGTAATATTTGTTAAATCATTAAGAAAGATCTGCTATACAAATTACAAACCCATGGAGGAAAGTGGCAGATTAAAAAACAAACAAAAACATTCTAATAATAGGTAGTCAGGTTGCAAGATCTTTAGAACACATCCAGGGTCTTCTTACTCCTATTTGAGGAACTCTACTCTGATTGACCAGGTCTTCAAGTTGGAGGTTTCAAAGTGTCCTCCTTCTAAACCAGTTGCCACCTAAGGCTATAGGACCCAGTCTGTTCTGCTATTTACTCATATTGGTGGGGAGGTGGGTGAGTGAGAGGAGATGGACCCATACCTTTTTCCCCCAAGGGTATTTGGGCTCAAGTGATTGTAACAAACTCAACACTAATTCAAACTGCTCTCCAATTCCTTATTTGTAACCATTATCTATTATTCCACTGTGCCTACTTATATTAACTATAGATAAGTAAATGTTAGAATTTTTATAATTTTTGAAGTGTTTATGAACCTTACTATTTCATGTTTTATTATAAATACTAAAACTACCTTTTACTAAGTTGGTTCAAACAATTTGAGGGGGTCTTCATAAACAATACATTGAAATGATCATCTTCGGCAATAATCAATTGTAGAAACAGGACTAATTCTAACTAGTAAATTACCAACATTTACTCATTTGACGGAAATTAAAAAAAAAATGTCTCTTCCAATCAATTGCAAATTTATTTACAATAACAGACAGAATTTTAAAAAATGGGAATTCTATGAGAATTTTTAAGAAGCACAAACAACTATCATTTTGCAAATGTTGAAAGAAAGAAAGATTCAGACATTGACCAGAAACTCACAAATACAAACCTTAAACAATTCATTTAAATTAGTCCCTTTAAGGAATTAAAAATTTTCCCATTTTCATTCCATTGAAATGCTTTCGCCCAGAAAATATAGCAGATGATACTCAAGTATAGTGCAAATCACTTAAGAAAAAAAAAAAAAAAAAAAAAAAAAAAACTTGATTGGATCATTTAGCAAAATTAAACTTTATAAAAAAAATATTTTACATGTTATCTTCTGTAAATTGATCATTAAAAATGGTGACATTTGACAAAACAAAAATCCAAGTTATAATAATTCTTAGCTTCCATTGCTTGATAAGATTCTACAAAACATGTTATTCTAGTCTTGTAGAAGATGGATGACAGTCAAATCACACTGGTTTCTGAATGACCATAAAAAGTAGTACTATGAAAATAGTAGACAATCAGTAGTACTTAATTTCAATCTGGCTTCTTTTTTTTTTAATTATATACCTAAAATGAGATAACTGAATTTAAAATATTGAAGATAACTGATACAAGTTGCATAAAAATCCTGCACAATTAATATTGAAGAATGTATATTCCCCCCCTATTTAAGTGTATTAAAGATAACTACTTCTAAATAATGAAAAGACAAAAGTACGCTGAAATGATTTAGGCGTTACTTCTAGGTATTAAAAGTAAAGGTATTGAATTATTTTAGGAAGGACAATATGTGTAAGCTCTAAGTAACACAATTTTAGAGATGATGTAAATCTTATTCATGAAGAATCAATTTCATCTTTATTTGCTATTTTGCATGTAAGTCCATTGTGTGTGTGTGTAATATTTTTTGGGGGGAGTGGGGGGGTGTTGGGGGATTTGAATTGCGCCCTTTTTGGAAATTAACTTTTTTTTATTTCATTTTAAAATCAAGTGTAACGTTATACTTAAAGGCAGCATGAAAATATAGATTAAAAAAAATGTTCATAAAATAATTCAAACTATATGTTTAAGGTTGTTTTTGTTTTTTTACGACTTAACCTTATAATCAGAAAAAGAAGGGAAAAAAGAATGGGGTAGGAACAATTAAACATCATGATATGCTGAATAAAAATAAGGTTTACTGAATTTGAAAGTTCCAAGTTGGATTTTCAAATATCATTCTTTAAAAAAAAAAAAAAAAAAAAAAAAAAATCAGAATAAAGAAATGGACAACTTGTTTATTTCAAGTGACAAAAATTGTAGTAAACTCAAAAATAAAATCATACCACCCCACCCTCCCCAATCTAATAAATTCATTGATATGAGGAAGAAAAAAAAAAAAAATTGTTTAGATTTGATAATTGCATATTTTTTCTTAAAATGATACACAAAAAGAGAGAGAAGAAGTGAAGAGGTTTATTTATGACAGGAAAACAATTCTACTGTTGAGCTAAGGTAAAAAATTGTTCAGATTGATTGCACTTTATTTTTTTTTAATATAGATAAAGAAAAAAGAATGAAACCATTAAAATATTGAAGATATAACCAATTTACAACCTACCAATGTGTGGTATATATATATATATATATATATATATGTGTGTGTGTGTGTGTGGGGGGGGGGGCGAGACAGAAATGAACAATGCATGGCAATTGGCAATTTCATGCTTGAATGAAATTTTCTTTGGTCTGAAAAATCATACTGAGCTGTGAAACTGACAGTCATTATGCAGCGTTGATTGCTATGTTCACACTGTCTATACACTCTAATATCTTTCCATTGATCTCAAAACCCCCTATTCTGTTAATAATTCTTGTTTTGATTCCTGACTATTGACAATTTTTTTTCTCATTTTCACATATACATTGAATATTGAAATGTACTTAGATTGTATGCCAAAAAGAGAAAACATTTGGTGTCTTATTGCATTGATAGAATTATTGAGTTAATATAGAAAACAGCAGCAAACAAGTAGTAGAGTAGCAGTAGATGCAGTGGGCAATTAAAGCTGAAACCTTGCATATTGGATCGAAATGCAATTGTGATCTAATACAAATAATTATCATTGTTTTTTTTTTCCCCTCTCATTGCCGTCAGAATTTGTTGTGCCACCGTTTATATAATAATGTGAATGAAAGTTTTCACATATTTGTCTATTAAATCCTACCTATGATATCATAGAAATGATCCTGGAGGATAAGAAGCACAAACAACTATCATTTTGCAAATGTTGAAAGAAAGAAAAAAAAAAAGAAAGATTCAGACACTGATCAGAAACTCACAAATACAAACCTTAAACAATTCATTTAAATTAGTTCCTTTAAGAAATTAAAAATTTCCCCATTTTCATCCCATTAAAATGCTCTCGCCCAGAAATTGGATATAAAACAGAAAATATACCAGATGATACTCAAGTATAGTGCAAATCAATAAAGAGAAAAAGAAAAAAAAAGAAAAAGGAAAAAGAAAGTGTGTGGGGGGGCGGAGGGAGAGTGAGGTAATACACAGTTAATTTTTTTTTTTGAAGAGGTTAAAGTTCATGCATTTTCAGTGTCTGTAACCTACCTAGTCAGGCATGAATGAAAACAAAAAACTTACAATGTCTAAATCTTTGTGACAGATATTTTACAATAAGTGGTTTTTCTAACCATTTTGGAGGTAGCTTTATACAAAAAAGAATGAAGACAATTTATTTGCTATAAAATATGTCCAGGATGATGTTCCATACTACAATATTTGACTTCAGTATTGCTCAGAAGCTGGATGGGTGGGGGTGGTTCTCTGCACACATTATACACAAGCGGGAAGAAGAAGCGGGAAAAAAAAACCCAGTTTTTTCACAAAATAAATTTAGGGGTTGCACTATACATGAAACAGTAGATATAATCATATGTAGAATGTTATAATGCTGGCTAGGTAACTAACCAATGTATGTACAAACATAAAATATTATACCAATAACTGGCGGGGGGAAAAAATGGTTACTTTGTTTAATGAAGTGACTTCAATAAAAGTTATTAGAATCAAGTTGAATTGTATGTTAAATTTCCAGTGTTTATTATATATGTAGCATAGAAGCTTATTTGTTTTGTCACATGCAATTTGCAGAAGAAGGTGTTCTTGAATATGAAGAGAGTTCCTGTTATTATCTTAAAATTCCTTCACTCCATCCCAATTTTTGTTATCTAAAAATAATTTTGAAACTTCAGAATAAAAAGATTTTGGAAAGCCAATTATAAAGAATTATTTGCATATTTGACAGGACAATTTGGATTAAGAACACTATTTTTGGATGCTTTTTTCCAAAGTTAAAATTTCAACAATATAGGCTCTTGTTTAAAAGGTTGCTAGCAGAAAAAAGATTAAAAAAGAAAAAGTAAATCCAATTTTATAGGGTCTGCGTATTATTTGCACCAATAGACATAAGCGATATGGGTTTTAATTTGCATTTGAAATTATTTGCTGCACCACAGTCAATGGACACTAACAACTTGCTTAATTTAAATATAGTTTATTATGTTCTTGCATATTTTTACACTCTGCAGTTCAAGGTCAAATGAAAGTATAAACCTAAAATTAAATTATTTTTTGTAGCAGTACGATTATATACAAATCATAAGTCAAATTTTCTTATGGAAATTATTGGTCAATTAACCTGTATTTTCATAAGAAATTCTTTTTCAAGTTTAAACCATCCATGATTTGCAATTTTAATTAGACACTTGAATAGAGTCTTCTCTAAAAAGTACGATTGAATGTTGCATTGAAAGTCATTTATTTTGATTTTTTGTCATGGGTAAATGTGAAAGGTTTAAAAGAAAAACTAAAACAGTATCCATCTTTTGATATTATTTTCAGTCTGGTTTCAGTGACTGCAATAAGAAGAGGATGGTACAAGGACAACATGTTCTACCAAGGACTAAGAAAGAAAAAAAAAGACAAAAAAAAGACAACTGACCAAATAAAGAGCTCTTAAAAATGACTTCTGTTTTTCATTCATTTATTTTATTTTTTTTTTATACTACTCCCATATTTGCAACATGTATATCAAGCTTCCAGGCAATTAAGTATTTGTTTAGACAAAGGGGTGAGGGATAAACAGAATAAAGCAAATTGGGAAAGGTTTTAAGCTATCTGGATTAAAGCAGATTAACAAACCCCCCTCAAAAAAAAAAAAAAAAAAAAAAAAAAAAAAACCAACAACAAACCGCTGCAAAACTGAGCTTAACCCTGAAAGAGAGAAGGAAGAAGAACAAGAAAGGCGCAGTATAAGCAGAAACTCAAATTGCCTTTGGGTTCAACAACCAGCAGATGTTGGAAGAGAAAGAAAATCTTTATTTTTCTCTCAATACTGAATGAAATGCACATCAATTAAGTTAAAATAAGTCCTTGCCATAATGAATTAATAACAAATGTTGGTCATGATAAAAAAAAAAAAAAAAAAAAAAGTCTTTATATAATTATATGCATACTAATTTCAGCAGTTAATAATTATTTTATGTCTATTCATGGTTACTATAGACAAAGTTGAGTATTGACATATATCATATAGGGTGATTTAGGAGAAAAATACATCCTATATAATGTGGAATATGCTTTAACCATATATAACACTCAAGATTGAGTGGCAACTGCCAAAAATTTTTTTCTTTGGTAATATAACTTGATAAATGAAAAGAAATATTTCCTGGTTTTGTGACCTTTTTGCATGGTAGCAATTCAAATGTCTCTATTGGACTGGTGATAATAGTGTGTGTATATATATATATATATATATATATATATATATATATATATATATATATATATATAGTTCTCTTGTTAATATTTTCGCGTGGTACGTCATTATAAACAATTAAATTTCAGATTAGAATTTTTTTTTTTTTTTTAATTTATTTATTTAGATTAAAATTTGAAAGCTAGCAAAAATAAAGTAACCACCATGTCATTTATTTAATGACTTTCACTGAATTATAAAGTAAGTGGGGGAGGAGGGATTTTACAAAATTCAAAGCGTTTACAACAGGGGTTTTCAACCTTGCTTGCCCCATGCACCCCTTTCACCATTTGTCAAAATGCCATTCCCCACCTCCTTTTCAATGTGACAGGCCAAATTCTAACGTTTTATAATGGAAATACAGGTTGAGAATCTTTATCCAAAATTTTTTGGACCAGAAGTGCTTCATTTTTCAGATTTTGTTTTTTTTGCTTTTGGAATACGGGCTATTTGTGTATAGCATCTATAGGGCAGCTTGGGAATAGAACCCAAGCATAAACACAATATCCCTTTACATTTCATAACACACCTTATACATATACCTTGAAGGTAGTTTTATATAAATAAAATATACCCTGAAAGTAATTTTAACTAAAATTTAATAAATTTTGTTTACATACAGATACAGGTAATGATGCTAGTTATATAATGCCCACATAGACTTTAAGTGGTGAAATTATGATTTCACAAAAAAAAAAAAAAAAAAAAAAAACTTACAAAAAATATAAATGTAGGACTTTTTGATAATATCTTTACTGAGCATGAAACATCTGTTAAGTAATCCATGAATGAAGGTGTTGCTGTGATGATTGCTAACAAAAAACTCATGCCAATGTAAGCTATGTAGCTGGGCTGGGGAACCCCCACCCAGGGAAGACGAGGGTCACTTACAACAGCTGCATATCACCTAGGAAACTTCCCAGTGCTTTCTGAAATTTTCCATTTATAGTAAGTCATGTCAACACCTGAAAAACTCTTAGATTTTGGAGGTTTTTGGATAAAGGATACTCAACCTGTAATATTTTTGTTTTACTAAGAGCCAAACCATGGATTGACAGAAGCAAATAAGGAAATCAAGGAGCAGGAAAATTAAAAAGCATTAAAGTGTAACAAATATTAGCAAATTTAATGTAGTGTACAGAATGGTGAAATTAACAATCTGCCTTGTTTTCAAAAGCAAGGATGAATTAAGTGTTCAGGAGGCTATGGTAATGACAAAACTTAGTAAATGACAGCAATTTCATTGAAGAGATGAAAAATTTATGTTTGGTGTGGATTAAAGATAAAGAAATTACCAGTGATAGAAGTAAACCAATAATTTATGCAAGAGTGAAACATTTGTTTGATGACCCCCGAGAGCTAAACATTCAGTGGAAGTAATGCTACATTAATGGATTTTTCTGGTTTCAGTTTATTTTTGTATTTATTTGTTCTTTATGTATATACTAGACTTTTTTTTCTTTTTTTTTTTTTTTTTGCAACATGCGTAAGCATGTTGAAATCCTCACAATATTTAGTATAATTTTTTTTGAGATTTACAAACTACGTTTCGTTCAATTTTGCAAACTGATTGATGAAAAATAAAAACTTAAAAGATATGCAAAAAACAATATTGCATTTTTATTAAAAAAGTATTTGTTATTTTAATCATTAAATTGTTTTTAAAATACTGGGAGTATTTTGTATGCTGAATAATAAAACATTTAACTTTTGCCAAAAAATTAATGCAAATTTATTGTACTAATATATGCTAGTAAAACCAATTGCACTTTGTACTGCCTTACCTGTTTGACCACTCAAAACCAAATTTTTGGGTGAAGTACAATGTATGGCTGTTTTAGAGGGTTTGACAGACAGAAGTCATTATATATATAATATATTTATATATATATATATATATATATATATATATATATATATATTATATTTGCTAGTTAATTTGTGTATTTCTCATTTTTTAAATTTTTTTTATTTGCTTTTATGTAAAGTTTAGGTGAGAGATTGGAATGTATTACCCATATATATATATATATATATATATATATATATATATATATGTGTGTAAATTATTTAGTTAATGAACAAGGTTCTTGAAAAGATGATGTTTATATATAGTAGATATCTTCAATGAAGACCGTATATATTGTTGAAAAATATTAATAATTTAAAAGTGAGTTCTTAGAATTTGCTTTTGCTTTCATGACAAACTCAAGAACCCAGATTTGTCTTGCAAAGAAAAATTGACAATTAATGAAAGTTGAATTAAATAGCTACAAAGTCAAAATTTTCCCTTGAATCAACAAAAATCACAAGGCCGCTATCTGCCTTGACAAAAATTCAATATTGTAAACAAATATAAAAATCTATTAAAAATAATCGTAACATCAAGGCAATTTCATGGAAAATAGATACTTTAATCTTTATTGGAATTAACTATAGTAAAAAATTGACAAATTTTATTTAAACATTAAAAATGTATTTTTATAACATTGATGACTTGCCTTAGTCAGGCCTGATGAACAGTGACACAAATTTGTGTAGACAGCTTTAAACTGAATTACTTGTATCTATGTATAATTGCCCATAACAATAAATCAATATTTTTTTTTTTTCAAACTAATTATTTTTCTTTTATTTTTAAAATAAAACTATCATTACTTTTTAAAAGTTAATTCAGCAAAACAGTGTCACATAAAATGTAAAGAATGTAACAAAAACTCAAATACCTGTAAATTAATTTTTTTTTTTGTTTTGTGAAAATGATTATATTTACAGAAATAAAATTTTCACTGTGAAAAATTTAGGAAGCAAACCATTTTATTTTCAAAATAAAAAAACTCTTCTAGCTTATATACAAGTGAAGTATTAGAGAAACTAGAAAAATAGTTTTACATAAAAAACAAGTGCAAAATATTGAAGCTGAAATGATTACAAGTCTGTGCACCCATAGTTAATAATATCCCGTCTATGTAATATTTTAAAAAATTACTTTAATAATTCAGAGAATATGTTCTTGATATCTTTGTATTTTTATTTATTAAAGGACATTAAATTTTTAAAACAATCCTAAAATGGTAACCTTTTCAAAGAATGAATAAAGACTTTAAAATATTGCATTATTTAATTGACATTATATATAAAAAAAAGAAAAAAAAGAAAATCCCTAAAAACGAAAATTTAATTTTTGTTGTTAGTCAATAGCTGTAGAATATAAATTAAAAAAAAAAAAATTTAAGGCAACACCAATTGTCTTGACTTTTCTTTTGGTTTCCAACTTTTACTATTTTCAGTATTTATTTTTCAAGTATCTGTAAAAAAGTGGAAACCTCAATGTAACCCCCACTTTTGATATACAATTGAGAACCAACAAATTAAAAGTGGGGTGCAATTGCATGAAAAATAAATTTTTCTTGAAAAGTTTGAAGAAATACTAGTTAAAAAAAAAAAAAAAAAAAAAATTCTCTTTTGCATAAATGCCAAAAGTCTATTAAAATTCAATGAATTTTGAAGATTTTTTAAGATTGACATGTTTTTATGACCCCCTACCCCCCAAAAAAGGCAATGGTATTTTTATTGTGACAATGTTTACAAAGTAAACATTTAACCCAAATGTTTCCGATTCTACTTAGAATCTAGAAATAATATATTAGATTTTTTTTTCCTTTCTTTCAGCTTTCAGTTAGTAGAAAAAACAAACACACACACACACACACACACACACACAGAGAAGACCATAAAATTAAGCTTCATACCTTAAATAAATAAATAAAAAAAAAAAAAAAAAAATCTGGTGTTAAGTTTTCTGCCATGAAAAATGGAGATATCTACTTTATGGGGGTTAATTTTTTAAAAGGCTGTAAAGATTCATATTGTATTTTTACCCCTCTCCATAACTGAACTGTAAATATATGGGAATTAGTTGAAATTTTAAGAATGAACATATGCTATTCTGGTGATTGTATATGAGAGTTTGTATAAATAGAAAAGAAAAAAAGACCATAAAATTAAGTTTTATACATGTTCCATAGCTTTATTTTTATATCAGGTGTCAAATTTTCTGCCATGAAAATTGAAGATACTTAGTATGTAAAGAGACCAGAATATATGTTTCTATGAAAATTACATATAAATTGATTCAGATCATAATTTGGACTCAATGTTTCTAATAGGATAGAGTTTCTAAAAATACAATTTTATATGTGAAGCGTTTCATGCGGTTGTCTTTTCAGCTGCATACATATATTATCAAAAATTACCTATATGTTAAAACCAAAAATGATGTCATCAGTAGAACAGAGAAGTAAACAAAATATATTTAGAGTTCATAGTATCACTATAATTATAACAATGGATATATATATATATATATATGTATATAAATAAAAAAAAAAATTAAAAAATTTAAAGCCTTGATAAAACAGCAAATGTTTATATTTGGGGAAATATTTTTTAGGCATCAATATTTCAAGTCAATAACAGTCATGAAAAGTAAAATAAGAATAAATCTTTCACCACTTTTACAAATCAAACAATCAGGACACTTCAAATTTGAAACAATGTGGAAAAAGAGAAGTCTTTCTTCTGATCGACA